ATCAACAGCAGTCAATAGCAGTGTTCTCTCTCTTACCTAGGGAGAAGGCTAGAGTCAGCAAGCAGTGACGTTAGTTTAGAGCCCAAGTTGAGTTAAGGGAAAGAACGGTATCCTCAGTGGTGCTCAACCTGTGGCTGCTACAGGTACAGGTGCCACGTTTCAAGGCAAGGTGAGAAGGTGTGTGCTATGTGCTACTTGGTTCTTTTCCTAGAAACTCAACTTTACTAAAAACTGTCACTGTAGCCTCGTGCTTACATCCCATTAGTCAGAACTAGTTACTTATAGCTATAAAAGATAGGTATTGTCCTCTGTAATAGGAACAGGCAAGGTCACGAGAGAGCTACGAGCCACCAGTTCCATGAAGAGCTTTTTATTTTCATTTTTCTAGAGGGTTTGGAATTCAGCCAGTCCAGGGAGAGCCAGCAAGCTCCTGCTGCTAGGCCCTCCAACAGCACATTTGTGTATTATAGAGCCAGGTTGGCCGCCCTCTGACCATCACTCCAACCCCAGCCGTACACTCACTATGAGAGGATGCTTTGCCCCACATTCCTTGCCTCGTGCTGTCACTTTCAGGTGCATGTTCGCAGAACAGTAACTGGTGGCAAGTGCCCATACAGGCACTGGCCTTATCTTGTGCTCCAGAGTGTTGCCATACAATGGCCCTAAGACTGCTAGGAATGGCATCCCGGTGGTGGGCACAGCTGACACTGGGAACCTGGGGGTTAAACACTAGGAACCTGAAGGTCAAGGGAACAGAGCTTGGTCAGCACAGCTGGTATGGTCTGAGTCTGCTGACCAAGGCTGCTGGGTGAAGACAAGTTTTGTGTGATGGTGGCAGGACCAGGCTGGATGTGAGCTCCTGATTGGAGAAGTCCTCGGGCTTTCTAACACCTGGCTACTCTGGGCTACACTGTCCTGTCTAGAGGGAACCTGTTCTCCCAACTCCAGAACTTCTAGGTGAGGAGGAGCTTCCCTAGACCTAAGAGGGGGACTTGGCCCCAGAAGGATAGGACTGAAGATACCTGTTCCTCCTAGGCTGGGCCCTTGCCCTGCCTCTCCTTCCAAGTCTGCAGGCCCCAGTCCAGATGGTTTGTTGGAATGAATGGTAGAGGGTAAGACAGGAATGGGCACAGTGTGGAGCACAAAGGTCTAAGTGTTCATGGAGTATTGTACGCCAGAATGGTCCTCAGACATCCCAGGACTCCAGGTGGTTACTGAGAGTTTCAGATACAGCTCCAGAGTGTTAGCTCTGCCCAATCATCTGACTTCCCCTCTGAAGGTCATAGCTCAGCACGAGGAGCTGATGAGCTCTACTGATGGAACACCAGCCTGCCTGAGGGTGTCATAACAAGGAGGTCATATCTATGGGGGGAGGTCATTGCCTTGAAGAGCCCCTGCTGGGGCATACCTGAAGCACCACCCTTGTGGGGGCATGCCTGAGGGCTTATGCCTTGGGGATCACTACCTAGGTGGCCTCCACTTTGGGGGTTCCACCTGGAGTCTCATCTGTGGGGTTCACACTTAGGGTCTCTACCACTTGTGCTGTTAGGATGCAGCACCTCAAGCACTTGCAGAAACTGGAAGCAGAGAAATCTTAGATAGATGCACTTGTTGAGAACTGGCCCCTTGAAGGCCCAGTGCTTGGTGGCAACCAAATCCAGCCCACCACAGGAATAGCTCAGTCCTGGCCTGTGGGGCCAGGGGAGATCTTTCAGTTTCCTGTGAGGGGCTTTGGGGATTGTAGCTGATGTTGCCCATCCTCGGGACCCTTGGTCAGGGCGGTGCTAGTGTCTCACCCTTACTACTTCTCCAACCAGATGACAAGTGCGTCCTGTTTCAAGCACCCATGAGGTGAGGTGACTACAGCCTGGTCTCAGCAGACCTTGCAGGTTCCCACAAGTGGAGCCTACATCATTAATTCTGAAATCTTGCCTTTTCAAAAGCAGGACAGGACTCAACCCAGAGGTATTTCCTAAAGGTGCTGAGAGACAGGCAGCAGCCTAGCTCAAACAGATCAGACTCCCTTTCTGGCCACATAACCAGCCACAAGACCCAACTACCCCACAGCCTCTCCATACTGTGCCTCAGAGATCACTTCCTACTTGTGTTCTTTACAATGTCCCTCATTGCTAGCTTACTGTACAACTCTGAACAAAATAGGAAACCAGGACACGGTCTCCCTCTCTGGGTTTAGCTCATGAGTATGATATCACGATATAGGCCTCCAGTCCCACCCCAACTGTGCTTATCCTAAAGCAGCCATAGGAAGGGCCTTGTGTGCAATTCCTAAATGTTTTTTTTTGGTGGGGGGGCACTATGCTAACAACTCACAAGTACTGATGTTGATCTTAACTACTGTAGAGGCAGCTAGGCAAAATTGTTCTTCATTTAACAGCTGCAGGAGGGAGGGCACTTGGCCCTGGATCAGACCCTCTTCAGGAGGAAGATTGATGGGGTGGGGGCAGGGAGCAGCCTCCACCTCCCACCCCTATTCCTGATCCACTTCCTGAGACAGCAGCAGCTTTACGACGGCTTTGCACTTCCCTCTCACAGGCCCTGCTTGAATCCTGGTGTATTGCATATTGCTCTCAGTGGCTGCTCACTGCCCTCTTGTCCATGGCTGCTAGATTCCAATGTTGGACTAGAACCGTCAGAGCTTCTAGCTGTGTGCCATGTGCTGGTGGGAGGCCTGCCTGTGAGTGTGAGAGGGTGCCTTTTCAGTAGTGTCAGCAGGCTGTTATGGCTCCTGCTTGACTTCAGGGAAATGCTGCTTTTTGTTTCCCTGTGGTGACACAACAGCACAGCTTTTGCAACAGGAGAGGCAGATGCTAGGTCAGCTGACTCTGGGCATGCTACAGAGCGTGGCTTCCATAAGCAGGATGAGTGGTGCCAACACTGTCAAGTCACCTACTGCTCTGTGAGGCCCAATGAGGGCACAGGATCAAGGGGACTGGATGAGCCCCACTCCTATCTGAAATTCTCAATAAACACCATAGCCTCTTCCTTTCAACTCCGTATGGCCAAAGATAGTCACAGAGACAGGCAGGACCTGCCATGGGCCAGTTGAACCTGCATCCCCTTCTGGCATCCATGGGTCATCCTCAGGTTGCCTTCTTTCTGGTTTCTTTGAGAGTAATTGACTCTACATTTTGGAGGCCCATAGATTCAGGGATCCAGGGTGGGGCGTAGGAGTTTCTGTGGAAGGTTCTAGAAAACTGAAGGGGGCTTCAGGTAAGGAGAATGGGACTCAGAGAGGACCCCTTCACCCACTACCTTGGGTAGTGCCTTGGCTTATGGGACTAGGCAACTCTTATTTTGGCATGGCCTGTGGAGATGCTATACAAAGAGACTGCAGTGTCCCCTCACGCCATCTCACATCTGATGAATGCCAAAATTTAAGAAATTCAGGCCAAGGTCACAAGTGGAGGCCGGGGTGGGAAGGGGCTGGTGGGGTGGGGGACACGTAGGAAGTGGGATCAAGAGAAAATCTGGGGTGGGAGAGCGGCCTGCTGACTCCCCAGGTGGTGAGAATGCAAGGTAGGCAGAGCCGGACACTCAGGGTCCCTGTGGAGCAGCCCTGCCTGGGAACCAGCACTGCTTGTTCTCTTGACTGGCAACTCTAGGCAGGACAGACAGTGAGTTGTGGCCAAGGTAAGAACCAGAACTCCAGCCCTTGGAAAGCTACCCCTATGTCAGCCTGAGTGGTACCTGAACCTTTGCTTGGCAAGAAAACCACACTGGGGTCCCCAGTTGTGTCTGTCCCCCACATTCAGGAATTATTGGCCTGTAGACAGGAACTAAGGAACCCTAAGATCTAGCTGGGGAAATGCCATGAGCCTAAGGGGCAGAGGGGATAGCCCTGATGTTGCCCAGCCTGACTTACCATCTCTCTCTTCACGTCACACAGTCCTTCCCTACTCTGTGCTTTCACCAACACCAAATCCAGTTCTGCTGCTGTTGGCTCACTCCAAAGTACCCCAAATGGAACTTGAGGATATCATCCAATTAGATATTCATTGCAAAGAAGGGGAGGTATGTGCACTAAATGGCTTAAATATATTTGGGTTTGGGTCACAATCTAATGTGACATTGCACAATAGGGAATAGGGACAACAGGAAAGAGCCTGATCTGATCTCAACAGACAGGACTGCATTTATTAGCACAGCGAGGGGTAGTAACCTGTGTGAGGGAGTAGGGGCCCATCAGAGTTTTATAGGGGCCCTAGAAGGCAGCTGTTTGTTACTGGGGTGGGGGTGTGGGGGGTGAAGTTCCCAATATAGAACAGGTTGCTCTCAGAGTAGGGGTTGGAGGACCAGATGTTCCATGGTCAAGGGGTCCTATGCTGTGCCAATTTCCTTCTACAGGTATGTTACAATCCTCAGCATAACCTCTTATTAAGGCTTTTAGGAATCAGAGGAGGTATGTGCCAGTGTTCTTTCTGCAGGGTGCATAGCTAATCTCTGTCCTCCTTTCTACAGTGAAGATACTTTAGTAAGCAGAAATGTTATTTTCAAGATTTCTGCTGGCACTTCCATTACAGTAGAAAGGCTGGTACCCCAAGGTTCCACTTAGCGTTGGCCAGGCAAAGCAAGAAGAGACCGGAGCCTGGGTGTCAGTTCTCTCAGGTGACAACCACAAAACCCTTAGTTTTGTTTCTGAAAAGCTCAGTTTACCTGCACACTGCCTGGAAGTCTCTTGAATGAACAAAGTTCTACTCAATGGACACCAGGTTTGATAAAGGGACTTTCACCATGACCTAGGCAGGGGAACATTGTGCAACTTTTCCACCCCGCCAGGGCCAGGGGCTAGGGAAACCTCACTGCCAGGGATTCTGGTGGGAGATGAGAGGAGGCATCATAGGGGCAGGGGTTAGAGGCTGGAGGGGACCTAGAGAGGGCAAGGAATTTGGGGGCAGCGCAGGAAACTGAATGGATGTGGGCGGGGACGTAGACGCTGGGGCACCGCAGCCACTGCAGGGGTGCATAGAGTTCAGAGTGGGATGAGGCAAGACCAGCACCCAGGTCAGGGGTTGGGGAGGAGCCTGGATGGCCAGTTCTGGCCCAACCTCCTCGCCAACGGCCACCCGCCCTCTGGCCCCGCCCTCCAGCCCTCAGCCGCGCCCTCTCGCCCTCTGGCCCCGCCCTCCAGCCCTCAGCCGCGCCCTGGCAGCCTTTGTCCAGCTCTTTCCCGGGCCGCAGTGCGCAGGTGCGGCGCGCCAGCTTCGCGTTTGAAACATGGCGCGGGCCAGCGGTTGGGTCTATGTGAAGAGACTGCCCGGCAGCACAGCGGCCTGGGTCCCCACCGCGACCTGGGTGCGCGTCGGGCGGACAGGCGGGGATGGGGTTTTCACTGGGCGGTCTGTCGGACCTGACAGTTCCGCCTCGACGCGGACGAGAGGCCTTGGGCCGGCGTGAGAGTGGCGTGTGCGTGTGCGCGCGTGTGTGTGTATGTGTGCGTGCGTGTGTGTGCGTGTGTGCGTGTCTCGGACAGTTCTTCCACGACGCAGACAAGCAGCCTTGGGCCGACGTGAGGGCGGTGTGTGTGTGTGGTCCCTGAGCGCCTATGGAGAAGTCCTGTGTCTGTGTGTATGTGATATGTGGGGGGGCTGAGAGCCTATGTGTGTGTGTGTATGTGGGTGATGTGTGCGTGGTCCCTCAGAACCTATGGACAAGTCCTGTGTCTGTCTATCTGTGGTGCTTGGTCCCCGAGAGCCTTATCCTCGAAGCATCTTTTTCTCTGTCCTTCTGCAGGTATTATTTGGTTGTGGATTTTCATATCTGTGTTTATGAGGGAGTCAGAACTATTTTTTCTGTGGCTTGGGGGTTTGGCCGTCAGGACCTCTTCTGGTTTTCATAAGAGGTCACGTAAAATTTGTGCTGATTCTTTGAAAGTGTCATTCATTGAATTTTTCAGTGCAACCACGTGGGCCTAGAAGTTCCTATTGTTGAAGACTTTAAATTGCAAATTCGATTTTTCTAGTTATGTCAGTGTCATTTTGAATATTTGTCATTCTTGTTGTTTGGGGTTTTTACTTAATTTTTTTTTTCTTGGTTAACAAATATATGTGAGAAGAGCTGTTTATCTTTCTCTTACCAGCTTATTAGTGCTTATTAATGTCTGTAGGTATATCCTGTTTTCATGATGATATTGATAATCTGGCTTTGTTTTATAATCTTCTTTGGAGGTTTGTGATTATTACTGTCCCCCCCCCCACCACCACCAAAGAGACCACTTTTGGGTTGGTTGACTTTCTTCAATTTCAGGGGTTTTTTTCTATTTCTTTTCTTTTACCTGTTTTGTGATTATTTTTCTTTTTCTAGATTCTAGAGACAAAACCTTAGATTTGAGACTTATTTTCTAATTTAAATATTTTAATCTTTGTTTCCCTTTAAGCATCACTTTATCAGTATCCATAGCTTTTGTTACTGTTGTATTTTCTTCCTTCCCTCCTCTCTCCTCTCCCTTCCCTCCCTCCTTCCCTTCTCTTCCCTTTCCTTCTCTCCCTCCCCTCCCCTTCCTTCCCCCCCTCCCTCCCCTTCTCCTTCCCTCCCTCTCTCCCTCCTTCCCTCCCTCTCTCCCTCCATTCTTTCATTCTGTCTCATGGTATTGGAGATAGAGCCCAGGGCTTTGTGTGCTAGGCAAACACTCTCATGGAGCTGTACCTCAGCCCCTTTTAACTTTTGAAATATGGTCTCAGTTCAGGCTGGCCCTGAACTCATGAATTAGCCCATGCTGGCCTCAAACTTTTGATCTACCTCCCTCAGCTTCCCAAGGAACTAGGATTACAGGCCTGTGCCACAACGACCAGCTCTCACTTTCATTAGCTTCATCGCTTTTTAAATCTCCCTTTAGGTTTCTTCTTAGAGCTATGAATTATTTAGGAGTGTGTTTTTAAAGAATCATATGTGTTTGGAAGTTTTCTTATTTTTCTTTTGTTTATTCTAATGTGAGTCTATTATGGTCAGAAGACATACTGTATATAATTCTAATTCACTTCAATTTGTGGAATTTTGTTTTTTGGGTTGGGGGGCGGTTTCTTTGTTTTGTTTTGTGGTTTTTTTGGGGGGAGGGTTCTGGTTTTTTGACAAGGTCTTCCTGTAGCCCCCAGCTAGCCTGGAATTCACTATGTAGATCAGGCTGGTCTTGATCTCACAAATATCCAGCTGCCTCTGCCTTCCAAGTGCAGGGATTAAGTGTATACACTACTATGCATGGTTTTGGGGAGGTTATTTAATGACTCAGAATCTGATTTCTATTGGAGAGTGTTCCAAGTCCACTTGAAAAGTGTGTTGTTGAGTGGAGTGTTAAGTAAATGTCAGGTGTCAGATCCTGTTGCTGCTGGTGTTCAGTTCAGTCGGAAGGAGTTTCTGTCTAGTGATTTTGTTAGTTATTGAGAGGATATATTAATTGCTTTTCTCATTCTTGTGACAAGATATCTGACAAGAAGCAACTTAAGTGTGGAAAGGTTTATCTTGACTTGTGTGAAGAGATAAAGTCATGGTGGAGAAGGCATGGTGGCTAGGGTATGAGGTGACTGGTCACAAATGTCACATTTGCCATCAGGAAGCAGACAGTGATAGACGCTAGCACTTAGCTTGTTTTCTCCTTTTTATTCAGTCTAGGGCCTCAGTCCATTGAATGGTGCCACCCCAGTTTGTCTTCCCACCTCATTTAACCTAATCTAGCTAATCCCTCACAGGTGTTCCCAGAGACTTGTCTCCTAGATTTTGAAAAGTTGACAATATTGATCATCACAGAGGGTAATTGAAATGCCTCACTAGCTCAATTTTTCTCTTTTCTGGATGTGAAGCTCTATTATTGGGCTTATTGTATATTTATGATGTTTATATCTTGGCTGACTGACTCTTTACCATACACACATTGTTCCCTTTGTCCCTGGTATTATACTTTATTGAAACATCTACTTTATTTCATGCTATATTATGGGGGTGCGGGGATCTCGGGGCGCCAGCTGCTGGGCGTGGTGCCGGTCTCCCGCGGGCCGCTGGGGTGCACGTGTTTCCCGCACCGCGTTGCTGTGGGTCTCTGCTACCGGGGCTGGTGGCTCTGGAGGGCCACTGTCAGCCGCCCGGGCGGGTTCTGTCCCAATTTCCACCGAGCACTCCCTCGAGGTACGAGATCCACTGGCCGCCGGATCTCATGGGAAGTGCGGAGACAGCGAAAGCAGGGTCTCCGTGGGTCGTGGCTTATGAAGAGACAGCTCTCTCTGGGAAGACTGGATCGTAGGCAGTAAGACACAGAACTCAGCTCAGTATAGCTCCTTTATTCAGTGACTCAGCTCGGCTCAAGGTCTTAGTGATTTAGCTCCAATTAATTAGAGGGAAACCAGGATATTTATACTGTGGGGGCAGTGGCAAAAGCCTTAGTGGATAGGTGCTTTCAGGATGCCCCATTTACATGTGGTGGTGGGCTTCTGCCAGGCTGCCAGACATTGTCTGAAAATCACACAGGAAAACCTGGCAGTTTCAGAGCCAGAGGCCATGTTTCTGTGATGGCTACTTCAAAGATGAGAGAGTAGGAAGGCACCCTGCTGATAAAGGAGTCTCTGCATTGAACGCCAAGCCCGTGGGCTATCCGGACATGGAGAGACTGCTGCTTTACACAACAGGGGTCCCCAACACTATATAGCTAGTCTAGCTTTCTTTGGCTGGAGTTTGCCTGCCAGATTTTTTTAACCCTCTCTTTAACCTATTTATGTCATCTTTGAAATGAATTCTTGGTTCATTACTTTTATCCACACATCTCTTTTAGTAGTGATTTAGAGCATTTACATGTAGTGTAACCAGCACAACTTAGCATAATGTTTTATTGGGGTTTTTTTGTTGTTGCTGTTAGCCTTGGTTTTTGTTTGTTTCCCTTTTACTGCCTTCCTGTAGTTGTGTGTGCGTGTGTGTGTGCATGTGTGTGCATGCGTGTGTGTGCGTGCATGCGTGTGTGTGTGTGCGTTTTATATGTTGCATTTCAGAGTATACCCATATGGCTTTCTAAGTAGTTACTTTCACATTACAGTTCTAAACTGTAATGTAAATGAGTGTATGGCCTGCATGTGTATAAATGCACACATTGTGTCATGCAATGCCCAAGGAGATCAGAAGAGGGTGTTGGTTTCCCTGGAAATGGGGTTACAGACAGTTGTTAGCCACCATGTTGGTGCTGGGAATCGAGTCTAGGTCCTCTGTAAGAGCAGCCATTGCTCTTAACCGCTGAGTCCCTTCTCCAGCCCCAGTGATAAGTTGTTTTTGTTTTTGGTGTTTTTGCAGCCCCCTAACATTTTAAATAATAGTGGAGACATATTTACCACAGTCATCACTCTGGAGGGTTTGGAGTGTTGTGTTATAAAATCCCATTTCAATTTCACATCAACAGCGCAGCCCCCTTGCTGAGATGGCAGCAGGGCTCTTGCCCATCTCACTGTGCAAGCCTAGGACAGAAGTCAGAATCTTTGGTGTCTGGCTGGAGTTGGGCTGCTGTGTGGGAGTCTGTCAGACTCTCCTAGTCCTCTCCACAGAGAGTGACTTTGGGGCAGGAGCAGATCTTTTTTTTTTTTTTTTTTTTTTGGTCATTTTGAGACAGGGTCTCCCTGTAGCCCCAGCTGTCCTGGAACTCACTATGTAGACCAGGCTAGCCTTGAACTCACAGAAATCCGCCTGCCTCTGGCCTCCTGAGTGCTGGGATTAAAGGCATGTGCCACCACGCCCGGCTCAGGAGCATATTTTTTTAAAGTTTTTATTAGCATATATCTATTATACATAATAATGGATTTCATTATGTCATACATATATATGTAATGTATTTTGATTATACTCACCCTGCTACCATCTCATTTATGCTGATACCCCACTTCCCAACTAGTTCCCGTCTTTTTATTTTTTTAATTTATTTACTTTTTTGATGAATCAATGAGTTGTTTAGGGTTGCTTATAGGGGCATGTGTGAGGAGTTACTTATAGAAGCACAAGCAACTTAGCAGGTCTACAGCACTGAAGAAGATGTCTGTCCTTTCCCCAGCAACTATTAACTGCCTCTAAGTCTTCAGGCAGAGAAGGGTAAGGCCTTACAAGCCCCTTATGTTGGAATGTTGGCGGGCCTAATCTTGTACACCAGAGTGCAATGGCCATATCATGCCTGGAAGACGGTTTGGTATCACGCCAGTACTTTTCTCTAGTTCTTATATTCGTTATACCCTTTCTTATTCTCAGTACTTTAGTTATGGGTCTCTGCAGTAATCACTAACCAGTAATCACTAAGCAAAAATAAGCTTTCTCTGTCCAAAGCTGACAGCAGAACTAATTCTGTAGTTATAAATATTTAGAAGGCAGTTCAGTAGGCACATCACGTTAACAGCAGTAGCTTCCCCACTATGGCCTGTTACTTTCTTAACCATGGGCTTTTGTCTCCAGGTTTACAGTATCAGATGTAACTTCCCTCCAGTGGAGCATAATCTAGTCAGAAAGTAGCTGGTTACCCCCATGATAGTCATGTGTCTATTGCACCACTGGGTATATAGGAAAAGCTCTTTTGGTACTTGGTTTGGGTTGTATGAGAAATGTGGGTGTGCACACACTCTTTACCAAAACTGACTTAGGGAACTTGCTGCTTGTTGGTTTCTTGAGGTCTGAGGTCTCTGGACAGTCAGCCTCCCTCCCTTCCAGAGTCTGCCCATACTTGACTAATACAGGTTGTCGAGGGTGTCTGGGTGTGGCAAATTGGGAGGAGTGTGATGAAAAGCACCCACTTGTCTTTATTTTGAGGCAGGGTATCTATGTAGCCCAGACTGGTGGTGAACTCGCAGTCTTCTTGCCTCGACCTCCTAAGAGCTGGGGTTGTCAGTGTGTGCTCTCACGCTTGGCCTCAAACCACATTTTAAACTTAATCAAAACTTGCTTTTAAAAAAGCTTCCTGGGAAAGTACTGGCATATTCAGACTTACTCTGTCTTGTTGATTATAAAAGTTTATTTTGTGGTGCCATTTAGATAACCAGCATCTGCCTCAGAAGTAAGGGGCTGGTGATTTTCAGGTTGTGACCTTTTTGTGGAAACCACAGGAGCTGGAGTAGAGTACCCAGGAATGGAAGCAGAGTCAACAGTACTCTTGGGAAGAAGGGGCAGAGGGAGATAGCTTAAAGATGTTTTGGAGAAAGCATAGGCCAGTACTTGAAACGTAGCCCTTTTTCTTTAGCCTTAGCATTAAAACTTTAAACAAGATGCATTATTTTTCTAAATGACTATCACATTCTGAGCTTACTAAATCCGACTATGAGAAAACCTCAAAAATACAGAAATACATGAGGAAAATGGAGGGATTTATTCTACAATGACATAAAAATATATCTGTATGCTGTGCTTTTCCTTTCTGTCTTTGAATGTATATTATCAGAGAAAAATTATTCAGTGACATTTGTTAAAGAATAGTGAGGCCAGCAGCACCAGCAGCAGCACATGGCTGTAATCCAACAGACACCAAGGACTGCAGGAAGATCAGGCATTCAAGACTGCATAGACTTGTCTCAAAAAACAAATGAACAAAAACATTAAAGAAGACTTTCGGATTATTTGGGTGGGCATAGAGCTTGATGAGTAGAATGTTTCAGTGTGGGGGGAGATTAGATTCTGTTCCCATTATGACAGAGGCAAGTAAACATTTTAGCTGACAAACAGGATAGGCAGGGGTCCATGGATGGAACATTACCAAGAAGAAATGAGGGAGCAGAATCTTGCTGTGGCCATAGGGGTGGTGAAGGATAAGAGGCCTGATGCAGGATCAAGATGAACAGACACTTAGGGTGGGGAGCTCTTGCTGAAATGACCTATCAAGGTTCTCTGCTAATGGGATTTATAGGAAGATGAGTCTAGGAGAGAGCCCACAAGCCTAACTATACTTTGGTTAGGCAGAGAGGCTTATCTAAATATCTGTTATGTTTCTTAAAAATTCAAAAAAAAATTTTGGACTTCTATGTTTTCAATTTAAAAAGGATTAAAATTTTACAATTTTCTATTCTTAGCTGAGCTTCAGTCTTCATCTATTCCTGGAACCTATGAAGAGAAGATTACTCACCTGGGGAATTCTCTGATGCATTTGACAGGTCTGAAATCCTTAGATCTCTCACGTAACTCCTTGGTTAGTCTTGAGGTGAGTTTTTAGGCTTGTCTGTTGAAATTTAACAGTATCAGCAGAACATATGTTAATGGTTTAAAAATACAATATGTTTTGTAGCTGTGCAAAGGCTGCTTATAAACTATATACTCACAATGATAGTGTATATTACCAACAGTGTTTACCCAGAGCTGGTGCTTATCCATCAGATTATATCTTTAAACTACTTTGAACACCAAAGTAATAGCTTTCTGAAGAAGACGGTTTATCTTTACAGGGAACAAAACAAGATCATAAGACTAAAGTGTGCATGTCCTTCCACTTCCATCCCCTCAGCAGCAGTTTTCTTCTTTCTACGTTTCATGGCCTAGCACTAACCTATCATAAATGACAGTGTATGACCCTGCGGCTCATTGCAGGTCCCCAGTCATGATGAAAGAAGAAGAAATCACCCAGGTGACACAAATGGGAAGTTTGTATAAATACTGCTTATGGCTCAATTCAGAGAGAGGGACCTCGCCTTGAAAGAAACACAGGATGTCACTGCCTAAGAAAATGGTGCTTTGTAGGGACCACTCCTGACAATGGCTTCAGAGCCTGGCTCAGTCATGTAATCCTAGCTGTATCCAGGGCTGGCTCCTCTCTCAACCCTGAAGCATCAAACTCCCAATCTAGGTGTGTGCAGAGGAAATTAAATTGTGTAAATTGCATTGTTTATCACATGCTGGACACCCAGGAGAGTAACTGTGCGTAGTACCATTGGGATTGACAGACCTGCTTTCAGACTTCCTATGGGTCATTGCCCTATGTAGAACATAGGCCTTTACAGATGAGAGCATCTTCCATTGTTAGGCTTCTTTTGGTTAACAGCATGTATTCATTATAAGTGGTTTTAAGTTGGTCAGCCCCTACCAATGGTTTATTTTTCATGATGGACTAAGATATTTTCTTATTAACAGGGCATTCAGTATCTGGTCTCCTTGGAGAGTCTCAATCTCTCCTACAACTGTATATCCTCATTAGCAGAAGTATTGCGGCTCCACTCCTAGTGGAGCTCCAGGATGTGGACTTCCGGTTTAACCCTGTTGTAAAGAATGAGTGACTACTGCCTGTTTGTCGTGCACACGCTCCCCGAGCTCTGACAGCTGGGTAGGTAGAGGAGCCCTGTACTTGTAGCCTCAGGCAGTGGAGCCATATTTGGCATTTGTGCTCCTGGGTAGAGTGTACTGTTGTTCCCTAATCGGAACTGAAGTTGGTTTTCTATGTTGATCGCCTAAATCCTTACAGACTCACAGTTCTGGGGGGTCATTCATCCTCATAGGGTGAGTCTTAATGGCCAGCTATTCCAGCCTAATCATTGAGTTCCAGGCCAGGTATGAAACTGTATCTCAAAAAATAAGATGGATAGCACCTAAAGAAAGACACTCAAGGTTGATATCTGACCTCCACATGCATGGACACCTACCTGCACATACACTGGGACACCCACATACATGCACACACATACACACAAACCACCACCACCGACAAAAAAGAATGCCATATTCATAGGGTTATTCCTGAGTTAATACCAGGATACTTTCTTACAGGACAAGAAGCTTGTAAACATTCCTTAGCATTTCTGTTGTTACTGGGGTCAGATCTTCCATGCATAGTGATTGTTGGAAACCTGGCCCTTTTCTGAGCCCAGAGGGTCATCAAAATAATAGAATCAATGGAGGACAGATCATTTTTTCCCTCATAGCAAATGTCTACAGGCAAAGATGTTTAAAGTCTGAAAATTGAAATTTTGGGAGGCAGAGGCAGGCAGATCTCTGTGAATTGGAGGTCAGCCTGGTCTACCTAGCAACATAGTAAGTTCTAGGACAGCTGGGGCTATAGGGAGACCCTGTCTCAAAAAAAAAAAAGAAGACAAAGGAAAAAGTTGAAATTTATATGGCAGTTTTCAAGCCAGTGAGGTAGCTCAGTATATAAAGCTACTTGTCACCAAGTCTGATGACTTGAGTTCAATCCCCAGGACCCACATAGTAGAAGAGAGCTGACTCCTGCAAATTGTCCTCTGATTTCCAGATGTGCACTGTGGCAAGCATGTACCCACATACATCCACACAAATAATACATGAATAAATAAATAAATATAATAAAAAATAGATGCCATCTTTCAGTTAATAATAGCAAAAAGAGGCTGATGTGGCTTAAAGGTCTATAAGCTTGTCTGAGTGACTCTGCGTGGCCCTTTTATGGGGACAGACTTGGGTTGGCAAGGGCTGAGTCAGCCCTGGTTTTATACTTACTACGTAAATGCAGGAAAAATATCACCTGCTATTCAGACTTCCCACAGACAGTTACATGCCAGGCTTATACCAACCATTCCTCACTCCCAGGATATAGGCACTATTTCAGTCCTGTCCTGTCAGTGAAAAAATAGGTCAAGAGCCTCAAGGAGTGGACACCAAGCTGAACTAATCCAGGCTACCTGGGCTGACCTGTCATCACAGCAAGGACTGGAATGTTTTAACCATGAAGAGATCTTACATGTGTGAATGGTGTTCTGACACCTTAAACTCAGTTTCTCTGTACCTTGGAGATGTTTCTGGAGATGGTGGGAGGATCTGTCAGCATAGAGGCACACTTTTCTTTTGTTTCACCCCTCTGTAACTAAATTAGTGAGGTGGGTTACAGTCCTTGCAAAGTAGTATTCTGGTCAGCTACAGTTTGATTGTTGTTAGAAATCACCTGTTTAGTAACTCAGTTGGAGCTGTTTTCTCTAGTCCTGTATTGGTGACTTGAGGACCTGGCAGACTAGCTCTGAGCATGGGCTAGCCTCTCCCAGCCTAGCATGTTTCATTTTTACAAGATCTCAGCTCCCAGGGCAACCTGGCCCAGTAGCAATAGTAGGCAGGCCTGTCTGGTTGGCAGCTGGTCATCCATTCCCTTACAGTGGTGGCCATGTGTCTTTAGCTCCAGAGTATGGTTTTTGTTGATTGAAGGCTAGAGGACACTGAACGCCTGCACCTTCTGTGTGGTGACCCAGAGAGCTTGGCCCCAGCACATTGTAAGTGCTGACACTAATGCTCCACTGCCCCTTTGGAGACCCCACGTCTTACAACTTAGTTTTGACGAAACATTTAGCCAACGCTGTATGATGTGGACCTGCTGGGAGTATGATTGCTGTTAGACCACAAGTGCTGAGCCTGGGGCAGGAGGGCTATGTGCCCAGAGCACACTGTTCGGTTCAAAACTTACTTGGAATTTCCATGTTTAATTTTGAAGATACTTGGGAGGAATAAGTGCTTGCGTTCTAACCTTTGACTCTTTGACCAAGTAACTTATAAACAATTGAGTTTGGCTCTATTTTTAGATGCATTACAGCTATGGGTAGTCTTGATACTCTTCACTTTTAAAATCCTTGCCTTCCCTTTGCCAGAAAAGTTTTAGATTCAGAATTATACAGAGTTTATATGAAGAAAGTAAAAGATGTTTCCAGGCACAGTAAAGGAAATCAGAGTCATTGGAAGAATCTTGTCCAGGGCTTCTGTACCAGTAGATGCTTGAAGAAGGGCTTCTTGGTCCTGTCTGGGCCTGAGGAGGGACCTGATCCTGATTATAGGTGGGATGCTGCTATCAGGAGATGACGTGGCTGGGGGAAAGTGAGATGCATTTGCCTTTGGAAGTTTTGAATTTTGAGTTCTGATGGTATCCAGGGATTTGAACTGACTGAGGGGAGAGGTGCTCAGGCCTTAGATATGTGCTCCTAGTCCAGAGAGGACATATGAAATTATGCGGCACTAATGGTCACCGCCTGCCCCCCCCCCACCAAGGGGGCTAATTTCTTACTGTTTTCTATAATTGTGTGCCATGAGGTAAAAATATTGTTTAAGAGATAGCCTAAGAACTTAACCACGTATTAAACATGAATGCTGTGATAGAGTGGAACAAGTTCCAAGAGTGGGGCCTCCTCATCCTCAGGTGTTTGTATAAGATACCACAGGAACACTTGGCCAAGGCGTTCTGAGACCCTGGGCCTTTCTGTGGGGGCATTTGGGACTTCTCCTTTGTCTCTGTGTTCCAGTGCTAAGGGTCTGAGGGCTCACCCCTAAGGAAAAACTCATATAGTCACAAATCTGTGTGTTGAGGACTCTCCATGTAGACTCCTCAGTGTGCCTGTGTGACGAGGCTCAGCCAGTGTCTGGCATGCACACGTAAGAAGGATGGCTATGTCTGTACACCTCACATGTGTCCTATTTTTCCCATGGGCAGCAGCCCGTTTCCATAGCATCTTTTGAGCAGTGAGCAGTGTGCTTTAAGGGAGCAGACAGCCTCTTGGCACTGCACTTGTCATTTCTGGGAAACCAAGCGTAGCCATAAGAGCCCACCATTCTTGGACAGTGCTTTTCATGCACTGATGAGGCCTTGTGTCAGAGTCAGCCCTAAAGTGTCAAAGCCTTTCTGTATGGTGAGCTCCAGGGTGGGGGACTAGGTGTGTCCATTCTCCTGAAGAAGGTGGCCATCACCTGCCTCTGTTGTTCTCTACAGTTCTCTGGAATTTTTTCTTTAGACAATCGTCCCATGAGAGAGAGTGAGCAGAAGGCTTCTTAGCTTCATTTTGTTTCAGAGAACTCCCTGGACTCAAAGGAGAGCTTCTCAGCAACTTTGACAGTTGTAAGGTATGTACAACTGTGATTCTAACACTCAGAAATGAATTCAAACTTCCCCGTTGAGAGGACATTGAGCCATGATGCCTGTGCTGTGCCCCTGAAGAATGAGTGTGCAGAGTGGATGGGAAAGATTCTTAGCACTGCCTGGTGCTGAGGTAGATGGTGGAGAAGTTTGTCTCTGTTTCTATATTTTTCTGGAAGTTTCATTTTAATATTTAAAATCTTCATGAACGGTATGTGAGAAGTCAGTGCAACAGAGGATCAGTGGTTTCTCTCTGGGTCTGTGGCTGTATTTTGATTCTGTGACTGCTTCTGCTTCCAGGCTTTCTTGGATATCTTTATCTCTCAGCACCAAGTCCTGCTTCTGAGTATGAGTGCTTTGAGCAGGACCCCTGCCCAGAGAGGCAAGTCTAGTATCCCACAGCTCCCATCTTTGGGCACTTCCTGTTCTCCCTCCTCCCAGCCCTGTGGCCCGTGTGCTGGCTCCACTGTGGTCCAGCTCTGGATGCTGTGACATTTGTGTCTTGTGTTCATTTTCCCCTCAGGCTGAGGGTGTTCACTATATGTGGGAACAATGGAGTCTTTGTGCTTTGGACACGGGTTGCTTTTAAAGCACAAAATCTATAAACCATGTTTCATGCTGGGTAATGTGCTGGGATTTTATCTTGTTTTACATCATTTCCTTTTGTTTGAAGCTCATAATAGCTCACCCCCATCCCACCCCATTGCATCATGTGTCCCAGATCATCTGGAATCTCTCTAATGCAGGGATAGAGACTTTTTTAAATGAATGGCCAGAGAGAATTTTTTAGTTATTGTGAGCCATATGGACTCTATCTCAGCTTCTCAGCTTGCCTTTGTGTTGTATAAGTGACTCTAGGTCTAAGCCATGTGTAAGTGAGGAAGGGTGCTCCAGTCAGAATGTAGCTGGCCAGGATTGGTCGGTGAGTCATTTTACCTCCTGTTGTTTTGTTTAGAGTATCTTCAAATGTACCTTCTGTGCCACCAGCCCCATTTCAAACAAGGTAGCTGCTGTATAGACAGCCATGCCATGGGACCTTGCGTTTTTGCATCTATTTATATCTCTGGTGTCTTTTCTTTCAGCTTGCTGTGTACAATATGGCACTAAGAGAGCAGCAGCGTACCAGCAGCATGTCTTGGCCTCCATCTATGGTTTACGGAAGAAACCTTTCTGGGTTTTTTTTTTTTAGCCCATGCTAATCTTGAACTTGTGATTTGACTACCTTAGCCTGCCAAGTGCTAGGATTATTACTGTACATCCCCACAGCCAGTGCTAGGATTATTAGTGTACATCCCCACAGCCAGTGCTAGGATTATTAGTGTATAGCACCACAGCCAGTGCTAGAATTATTAGTGTATACCCCCACAGTGCTAGGATTATTAGTGTACAGCACCACAGCCAGTGCTAGGATTATTAGTGTACATCCCCACAGCCAGTGCTAGGATTATTAGTGTATACCCCCACAGTGCTAGGATTATTAGTGTACATCCTCACAGCCAGTGCTAGGATTATTAGTGTACACCCCACAGCCAGTGCTAGGATTATTAGTGCACACCCCACAGCCAGTGCTAGGATTATTAGTGCACACCCCACAGCCAGTGCTAGGATTATTAGTGTACACCCCACAGCCAGTGCTAGGATTATTAGTGCACACCCCACAGCTAGCCATGGGGAATGTAAAAAGCAGAGAAGTAGCAGAGTTCACAGGAAATAGCCCTTGGGCTCTCACTGCACAGATGAATGATTTGGACATGGATGGGAGAAGATTCAGGAAGGGAGTGTCTCCACAGTGCTTCATCTGTGTAAGAAACGGGAGGGATGCATTGATCACCAGAAAGTGACCTTGGGAGAGGGCACTGGAGCTTGTGTGGCTTTGGCCTCTTTTGTATCCCATACCCTGACTACCTGACTGAGCCTGCCCTTGTTTAGTGGAGATGAGTCCTTGGGGCCACCAGGACTCCTTGCTCTACCTACGTCTTCAGATACCTTCCCAAGGACTTGGCCCTCTCACTTGATGCATAGAGAATTCCAGTACAATCCTTTTTTTCTCTTTGTAGATAGTGTCTTAGTTCAGGCTGCTGTAACAGAACGCTGACGGGTGGCTTCTAAGCAGCAGGTGTATATTTTTCAGTTAGAGCTTCATTCGGGTTGCTAGCATGGTTACAGTGAGGTAAGGATTCTTGGGTTGCAGATTGTAGAGTTCTGTCTGTATCCTTACTGTTAAAGGGCAGGAGAGCTCCCTGTAGTCCCTTTTTTAAAGGGTGAGAACTCTGCCCTTGTGACCTAATCACCTCCCAAAGACCCCACTTCCTAGCACCATATCATATTGGGGTTAGGCTTTCAACATCTGGATTTTTGTTTGTTTTTTTTGTTTTGTTTTGTTTTTTTGAGACAGGGTTTCCCTGTAGCCCCAGCTGGCCTGGAACTTACTATGTAGACCAGGCTGGCCTTGAACTCACAGAGATCCACCTGCCTCTACCTCCCAAGTGCTGGGATTAAAGGTGTATACTACCATGCCCAGCCTTACATCTGGATTTTTGAAGGACACAAAGACTTAATCTTTTGCAATGTTAACATTTTAGAACAATTTAGGTTTATAGGAATTTCCATTTATTCAATACCCTCACCCCATTTCCTTTTGGCTTTTTGTCTTAGTGTTATGATTGGTATATCACCACTGAGTCTTCATCCTGTGGATTTTAGCCAATGAGCAATGTCATGTACCCCCTCTTACAATATCATCCAGAATTATTTTCTAGTAATGCCATGTATCCTCCCTTACAGTATCTTACAGAATTTCATTGCCTTAAAAATACCCTGTGCTCTGTCAATTTTCCCTTTCCTTCTCCAAAAACTTCAAATCTCTGTTCTTTTTTTTTTTTTACTATCTCTTTAGTTTTCTGTAGTTCAGAATGTCATATAGATGGAATTCATAGTGGTTTGAATGTAATTTGAATCTGTTCCATAAAGCTACTTGTATGGACACTTGATTCTCCACTATAGTGATGTTGAGAGGTAATGGGATCTTTAAGAAGTGGGTCCTAGTAGGAGGTCATTAGGCCATTGGGGATGGGGCTTTGGTGGGGATCAAGGTAGTTTTCCTGGGACCCTGAGTTAGTTTTTGTGCAAATGTGTAGTTATAAAAGAGTGAGCTGGGGCTGGAGAGATGGCTCAGTGGTTAAGAACACTGGTTGTTCTTGCAGAAGACCCAGGTTCAAATACCACCACCCACATGGCAGCTAATGGCTGTCTGTAACTCCAGTCCCAGGGGATCTGACAGCCTCTTCTGACCTCCACAGACAGACATTGCATGACACGAGTGCATTTACCTATCTATATGCAGGCAATACATGCATACACATAAAATTTTAAAAAAAAGTATTCCCTTATAATGTTCTGAATCTTTCTGGTGTCTTTTGTGATGTTTCCCCTTTCATCTCTGATTTTGTTGATTTGGAGGTGCTCTTTCTTTCTTTTGGTTAATTGGGCTAGCGGTCTGTCAATCTTGTTCATCTTTTCAAAGAACCAGCTCTTGGATTCGTTGATTCTTTGTATTGTTTTCTTTGTTTCGATTTCATTAATTTCTGCCCTGATTTTT